TTTAACTGATTTTGTAGCTGTTCTCAGAAGCGAATGGTTTGTAGGCGCTCTGGCTCCATGCAATGGTTGATGTAGTCGGTCCAGTTTACTTCTTATCAGTGCCAGAAACTGTTGCCCTGGTTTGGTCATGGCGAAATGTGCTGACTCGTCGTAAACTACAACTCAATCCATCCTTCTATTTATAGTTTTATAATCTGTTGCCCTCTCTTATTTCGGGACTCTGCGCCGAGCCCCCTCGAGGCCCATCCGAGGCTACTCCGAGATGCTTCTTTTATTACTCTTGTCGCCCCTGGTAAAATTAATACAGCAGAGGCTACGAATTAAATCGGATGCTTCTATCTGTGACCCTGTGAATGAGAATGCATAAAAGTTAGCTTCGAATAGCCCTGAAAGGGGTAACATTTTGTTCGCAGACCTAACAATTCATGATAACTGGACTTTCGGAGGCGGAAAAAGACTATTCTTGCTTAAAGTTAAAGAAAGAAATACAAAGAGAGACAAACCAGCCGACCCTAGAAAAATCAACACACAGGAAATGAAAAGGGAAAAACAAAACAAAACTCTGTGCACGTGATTTATTGTCTGGCACAGTTTGTTCAAGTAGGCCTAACTCGACTTCGGGTAGAACGAGGCCCGGACAATTTCCCCTTCGAATGTTTTTACACCTATTGTAAAAGGAATTTTTTATGCGAGGAGGAAACTTTTTGCTTTTTTTTTTTTTCGGTCGTGGACAAAGACCGCGAAAATGACCTCACCGAAAATCTCGAATTGTGCGTACTGTCCGCTGTGTGTTACTTACTGCATTGGATGTTTTTTGAGGGTCACTTCGGAACAAGAACTAGCTAGTACTGTACTACATCTTGATCGTTCGACGACGCACGGGTGGCTGTGCTTTACACATGACACATTACTTTCAAAATAACATTTTTTCACGAGTCACTCTTCAACACAATCATATGTCCATACTGTGTTATATTATTTGTCCGGGCTGTGAAAATAGTTATCCTCCGGCGAATTTCAAAAATTGTGTTTTTTTTCCTCTCGAGAAACTGATCTTTTATTGTATCTCGTATGTGGTATCGTTCTGACGATTAACACTAAAACTATATACGGTTTCTTTTTCACATGCGGATCGGAATTCGCGATTTTGGCAATTATTAAAGAAACTCGCAAATTCATGTTGTTCCCGAAATGTTGAAAAGGGGCGCTGCTGCATTGGAACACGTGATACGGGGTGACTCAAACTGCTAATATTATAAAAAACCCACAAACTTTTGCGAAAAAATGAAGCGCCAAAACGCAAAAAAGACGGTGCGACCCCCCCCCCCCCCCCAACCCTGTTTTAACCCATAATTTGATATTTTAAAAAAACCCAACCCCATACAAAACCAGTGTACAGTAGTCGTTTCTTTTGCTTCGTTTCCTTAGCTTATCTCTTCCTTTTTTAAACTTCAACACAACGTGATTATTCTGTTTGTATCGTGATCGTGGAGCAGTTCGATGGGACAATAATCAGGTTTTTGTGGTAACTAGAAACGACACCGATGACGTCATTCGCGAGTGAATTCATCATGGCTGACGTGTGTGTGTGTGTGTGTGTGTGTGT